TATATATATATATATATCTTCAGTTTTCTACGACGTGTTTCGTTTAAATTATATCATGCGATAAATAAAAGAAAAGCGCGCGCTGGATCTTAATTATATTTATGTGTTTACATTGCAAAACAAACATGCGTGGGACGTTGTTTAGTGTAATGCATGTCAAGAAATACATTTTTTTTATTACTATTACAATTCATTAGACCGGATTTATTATAAGTACCTATCCTTTTTTTTAATTTAGTAAAAATAGAAAAGCGCGAAATTTATAGTAAAACTCAAATCACAAGAAAACTACGATTATTGTAAAAATAAAAATAATTGTAAATCACAAATTTTTTAAAGGAAAAGAATAATTAAGTTGCGACTGCCTGGAAAAGCTCAAAAAAGTACCTAAAAATGTTTTTAAAAAAATATCAATAAAAAAATGGTTTTTGAATTTTTAAAACGTTTGTGTTTAGCAAAAAACAGTTTTTTTGTGTTTTTCAAGCATTTTGGATTTTTTTTTTTTATAATTCCGTATCTTATATTATCTTAAAATTTAAAATAACTTTTCAAACAATTAAAATAATATTTTGCGTTGCATGAATCGGTAACTAAGCTACACGTTTATCACAACATGTTAAGGCCAAGTTCAATGTCCCTCTATACTACATGAACTTTAGCTATCGACCCTATTCCATTCAAATTGTGTTTCAACTCTTCAATTGTACGACACAAGAGACAAAAAAAATAGCTTTTTAATTTTACTAAAACGTTTTGGTGAACACAATATTTCATATTATAAAGTCAACTATTGAAATCGACACAATAATTTTCCAAAAACTTTTGGTGTACATTAAAAACTATAAAAATCGTAACTTATAAATAGAGATTTTAGCTCTCAAAATTAATTTTGTAATGTATTACCAAGTATTTAATATTTGTCATCTACATATCCACATTTTTTTTTCAGTTAAAAGACTAAACGTTTATTTTCATTAAAATATAATAAACCTCAAGACGTACATTTAATTTGCTATGAGGTTATTAATTTCTTTTTTTTAATGCTGAAAAAAGGCATAAATTTGGGACGACAAAAATAGTCGTCATAAATAATCAATATTTTTTTTTTATAACTTCCATTCCCATTAATTCCATTGCTTTTTTTACTATTAAACTACTATATTAGTCGTCTCAAAGTATTGACGTTGATTAAATAGAATTCGACATTGTATTATAGTATTAGAGTGATTAATAAGTTAAAACTAAAGAAATATGAATTAAAAAGTAAACTGTCCCACACCAAATGTGTCTCAAGGTAAAGATAGTTTTACTCTGCGTGTGTAATCAATTGAACTATGTGTAGTATATACAGTAGTGGTGGGACTATTCGGATAAAAAAAATTCGAATATTCGAATACTTTATTCACACGAATATTCTTTTTTATTCGAATACTCGATAGGTTATTCGAATATTCAATCTGATTTTTCGAATATTCAAATATTTTATCATTTTCTTTGGAGGATTAATTAGATTAAAAAAAATAATAATTAAGAGACAACTAAGGTGTTCTTGATCTATTTTTAATAATCTATTTGTACTATTCGAATTATTCGAATATTCGAATTATTTTCATACGAATAGTATTATTCGATCATTCGAATAATTCGAATAATAGAAAAATTCGATTCGAGGTCTCAGCTCAAATACACAGACTTACATTTATATACTTTAAAGGTAATAATAATTGTGCAAGATACCGATTTTAGTGTTTTTTTTTTTTTTAGATTACATTCGATAAAGTGAAAACGATAAAAAATAACATATTTACAAGAGACAAGTCAACTGATTTGAGTAATAATTCGACTATTTTTTTGTTTTGCAAACAAATAATCCAAACTATCATGACACTCAGTTTGTTGTGTAAGAATACATGACTAATGAGTAGTTAGCTGTGTAGTTGTACGCTCTAAATGTTTTTCTTTTAACAGTACAAGATAAATTAGGCACGCAATGACTAATTTACTACTTTACTATAGTAGGTAGATTTAAATGACGGGCAATTAAATAATAATATATTATAAGACGACAGTAATAACGTGTCTTTTTACACACTTTTCGGTCGTATCTGTTTCTCTGGATATAATCAATCCTGATATTTTAAAAACACTAGGTAGCCGCTGTGTGTGCATTGAGACCCAGACATTCCGTTTGATGATTATTATATAGCAACAAAACGTGTTATTATAATTCGATTAGGTACGCAGACACCTGTGGCCAAATTATATTTCCTTTAAATTAAAAAATGAGAACGTTCATTACCTACAAATTAAAAGAAGGCAAATTACCATAACATAAGCAACTGCCTATCGTAGTCAACAAACGGAACTAATAGTCCTCTATCAGCTCTGGATCATTAGATTACCTATTCCAATAATAATATTAATTCACCGTGCCGGGCTTTGATTTTTATAAACCAGCTTCCATACTTAAGTCTTCATCATACATTAGGAGTGAACCCCCAGTAAGTAGTAACCATAGAAAACACTGGACCTAGAGGTATTGTGTAACACAAAAAGTTCACATGTGTCCCTTCCACTTGGAAAAAAGTTACAAATTTGTTTAGGGGGGTTATCCTCTTCAAATTATTATTATACATTGTGCAAACAACAACTCGACGAGCGGCCAGAATTAAAATTTCAAAGAGGTTAGATCGTTCAACGCACAGAAAAATACACTTCATTTGATGAATTTATTAAAAGGTAAGCGTTTTACTAAAAATAAAATTAAAAAAAATATACTACCAAAGTACCACTCGACCAAAACCTATTATAACATTTTCCAGCATGTGCCAATCATTGAACAGGATTTTAAAGAGAGAGAGTAAGGTCTGAATGAGTTCACCTTCTTCAACTCGACTCTTAGTTTTTTTTCCAACAATTTAAAAACCCTTAACCGTTCCACGATAATATTGTAATCAAAAATCCACTGATTTTTGTTTTAAAGCATTTGCTGAGCTTAAAAAAAATACATAATGATTATTACAAAATTGGACTGTCTATTCTTATTAACAAAAAAATAAATAAAGAGATACTAAAAAAAACCAAATAAATTTAAAACTAATAAAAAACTTGACTGCAATCCACGTTTAAAAGACACAATTTAAAAATTATGTTAGGTTAGTTCTATAGAAATTATCATTCAGGTAATCGAAGTTAGTTTCTTTTAGACAAATTTCCCTCTATCTCTAATAAAATCTATTTTTGTTTTTTTATTAACTGTATTGATATTATCTACTGAAATATAGTACAAATTTGTAAATATTGTGAATAACTTATTTCCAGAACATTATTATTGAAGTTTAAGTACTTCAATCACGATAAAACGCATATAAACGGACTTTTTAATATTTCTACTAAATTGCTAAATATTATTTATCTAAACTATCAATATTCGAAGTTTAGACCAAATTGAAAAAAAATCACCATTATTGTAAGAGTTTAATTATTTGTTGTTATCGTAACATTTGTGATTTTTCCTTAAATTCTTTTAAGTTAGAATATTAAATCAACCGAAAAATATGGATCAAAATGAGTTAAAACTTCAGATCTGAAAATCTGAATAAATTAACTCATTTTGACTAAGAACTATGAAGACATGCAAGTTCTTTGGCTACTTTTTTCCTTTTTTTATGTAAAAAAACTGCTTTTCAATATCGGAAAACGTTTAAATTAAATCAAATTTATTACAAAAAAACTGTATTTTTTCAATGAAAATCAATTTTTGATATAACCTAGTAAAGCGACCGACAAATTATTTTCTTTTTTCAGAACTAAACTTGGATCAGCCATAATTTTAGAATTTTATTACAGCAAATGCATTTTTTTACCACCAAAATGGCTTTTTTTCAATAGAAAAAATTGTGTACGTTCAAAATAAATGTATACGAATAACCGGAAAATAAATTGACATGGTCGAAAATGAATAAAACCACTTTTTTATTTCAATATTGATTACATAAAAATCCTTGAAAACCGCCTTAACGTTAAGAATACATTTTGGAAATAATTAAATCCATCGTCCGTTAATGTCTTCATTTCCTTTATTGTGTAAATATTTTAACGTGACTTAACCTGAACTAAACCTTAACCTATAATCAGGTTGGTAAGGTTAGGTTAGGTTAGGTTAACCGTAACAAAAATATTGTTTAAAATCCGTGATTTAAAATATAAGATACAATGTTTAGTTTCGGTTGGCTTATTAGTCATTACTTGTTAAACGTTGTACTTTGGCTAGTTTAATATGTATTAAACAAAACCATTGGCAATAAAACTTTAAGTTTCAATAATTGGGTTGTAAAAAAATAATTTTATATACTTTGTTTAGCCAATCTAAAGGGCCAGTTTTTACCTTGACATATTTTTGTAAACGGAAAAGAGTTTTTTTTTAACTTTACCAAAAGTCTTACAAACTTTTTAAACCCATTGGCTTTATCATAAATAAATAATTGAAAATATAATAATGGGGGTTGGTGGATAAGAAAAGGTTTGAAAACACTGTCAGTTAACACCTTTATCCACTCATTTAATTATTATACTTTGAACGATTCATTTATGCATAGGCGCAACTATAGGGGTTGCAAGGGGAACTTTCGCACCCTTAATCCTTGATTTTTATAGGTACATACTCTGTTAAACATTTGTATTTTAGAATATTTTATTTTATATTTAATAGTTTGAAGATAAGAATCAAGTTTAATCAGGTATGTACATCATTTTAGCACCTCGTAAAATGTTGGTCTAGTTTGTAGCGCCTATGCATTTATGCAAAACCCCAATGCGGTGCCAATATAACTTTGTAAGACTTTTGGAAAAGTTAACAAAAAAAAAACTCTTTTTCCGTTTAAAAAATTATGTTATGGTAAAACCGACCCTAAAAAAGTAGGTATTTTAGAATTGGCCAAACAACAGACTTTTTTTTGGAAATAATATCAAATAACTGTAATAACTTTGGCGGTACTCACTCGGACCAGTCGACGAAGAAGATGACCATGTACCCGACGTGGTTGAAGACATACTCTGGCGGCGGCGATTCTTAAGGAAAACACAATACAGAATACACAATAATGATATAGGTAGGTGTGCAATGTTATTTCATTAACACCGGGCAAAAAAAAATAACAATATCAATAATAATAATAATCGTTGGGCTGTAATTCAAACGCCACACACGCCAATCGACTAATAAAATATGAAAATATTATTTTTTATTAAACGGTTTGGCGGGTTCGGCGACGACTGCTGAAGACGGTGTGCGCGGAGTACAGATCAAGCAGCCCGGGCGACCACGCGCTCACAACAGGCTGCACGGCAGACGCTGCGCCGCGCCGTCCCTTGACCTCCGCGCGCGCCGTGTTCGATTGAGCGACTCGACGCCGGCGACGACGGCCGACGGCGCCCGACCGACCGTTTCGCCGGATCGGTTGGTTAACCACATCAATACGGCCGTTCGATACCTATTACCGCGTTATTTGGTTAATATTTTGACATGGATATGTTAATTGTCACAGTGCTGATGTCATTAAATATACATATACAGGGTATTCCAGCACGAAAGGTAAGTAATAGGTGATTGGATATCTGGGGGACCCTCAAATGAGCCTCCAGTTTTCATTTTTTCGACAGTTAAATAAAAAGATAATGACTTAAAAAAAAAGCTGTCTTTAGATATAAACACTTTCACAATTGTCTCTTAAATCATCCAAACCCTCTTATTAACAATCTGTCCTCCCGCACGATCCCTGATAACCCTCCTCGTCTTCTATAAAGATCCTGGTGTAGAGACCTCCTTCAGTTATCAAAGTCAGTAGGAGTTCCCCTCCTAAGTATGTCATATGCATATAATATATCCATAGGAGCAAATACGGGGGGGCTAGGGTGGGTTTAGCCCCCCAAAAAAATTAGGTTATGCATACAATTTTGAAAAACAAAAATATATTTACTTACATATATTTATTTTAAAAAAAATTCCAGCCCCCCCAAATTAAAAATTGAAATTGCGCCTATGAATATATCACAAATGCTTATTGTTTATTTTATACAGATGTAGTTGATATTAAAATAAAAAAAGTGATTTAGTTAATAAATTCAGCCTCACTATCGTTCGTTCTTTCTGGCTCCGATGGTAATTGCTATAAAGATATAATATAATTTAAGCATTTTGAAAACTCGGATTAACTTTAGATTCGATGCGAATCTCGAAAGGTACAAAAACTTTACAATGAATTTAATTATTTCGTGTCAAAGTATTAAATAGATATACAGAGTGATTTATGAATATTTTGAGGATTTTTTTTTCCTTAACTTTTAGTTACATATTTTACTACATTTTTCAATATTTTGAAAATTTTTATCACCAATCCTTATAAGCCAAAAAAGGGCATTTTTGGTTTTTTTACATGGCAACATATTTTTTTAATTACATAATTTTGTAGACAAAAAATTTAAAAAACCAGTACAGTGGGGTCGGGACATAGTGGGGACGGGGAGGTCACAGGTTTACAGGAATTGTTAAATCTGAAAGTGATAAAAAAAACGCTTCGATACTAATCGGTATTTTTAAGCCAGTACAGTACAAACCAAGCATAGTATAAACCAGCAAAGTTAGAAAGTATTAAATTGAGGTGCTGTATTTACAAATAAGCATTAAAGCGTTTATTTGAATGTGATTTTATTCAATTTTATCACTTTTTTTATAATAATTCCTGTAGACCTGTGACATCTTCGTCCCTTCGTTGCTTTGATTCCATTACGCCTATACTCTACTGTACTAGTCCTCTCGGATAAAATCACTTTCAAATAAACGCTTTGATGCTTATTTGTAAATACAGCACCTCAATTTAATACTTTCTAACTTTGCTGGTTTATACTGGTTTGGACTGTACTGGCTTGAAAATACTAACTAAATTTAAAAAGATTTTAGGTGTTTTTGTTAAAATATACGCAATCTGCGAAAAGACAGTTTACTCGTATGGTTTGCTACTCGAAGGGATTGGTCCAGTATTAAAAAAGTTACAGTGTATACAGATAAAAAAAACCCACACCAGAGTAAAACCAATACCTTCGCCGCTCTGCATCGAAGCTAAAATATGTAAGCGTTTGAATTTTGAACTTTCATTAGCTACGACCTTGTAAAGATACTACATTTCCTCTTAATATTTATCATATTTCTTCGGTTTTCTAAGACCAGTAGCACATAAAATTCATATTTATGTTCGCATTGTTCAGTTGGCGATACTATTCTAACAACTAGGAAGTCACTATAAAAGATTTTGGAATAATTATAGACAACCGGTTCTTATCTACATATTACTTAGATTACAGGTTATTTATTATATCTGATTATGATACAGAGTATGGTAACACATCAAATTATTTTTGTACGATGTAATAAAACTACTCGTCTTTGTAGTAACGATTGACAACATTAAGAAATACAGTGAAAAAATCAAATCTTTATAAAGTCATAACAAATGAACACATAAATGAAAATTTAAATTTTAAACGCTAACATATTTTTTATTTCGTTGTCTATAAATTTATGTAATTAAAAAAATATGTTATCATTTAAAAAAAACAAAAATCCCCCTTTTTGGCTTATATGGATTGGTGTTAAAAATTTTCAAAATGTCGAAAAATGTAGTAAAATATGCACCTAAACGTTTAGGGAAAAAAATTATAGGCATCCTCCTGTTATAATGATACAATACAAAATAGTATGATAATATTATTTTGGCTATAAACTGTTATTTCCATCGCGAAAACGATCGCGCAACAATCGATGCAATACAGCATCGATTGGAAAATGTAAAGTAAACTATTGTTCACAAACTTGAGATTCATTTTATTTCCAACGACGAAATAATGGTAAAAATCAACCAAATACACAGTTGCTTGCGAACAAATGTAAAATACAGGGCAAAAAAGTAGTTTTATAAAATAAACGGTTTGATCATTGTGTTTCAACAGCGGTTAATCAACTCATTGTTGTTTACACGTTAAGTATACACGGTGGATTTTGCATTAGACCAACACATGTGTTTTTTTTTAACAAAACAATACAATTTCCATACCATAAGTAAAGAATATAGATCGCTTATTTCTTAGTTGTAGGTGGTATATTCGTAGTCTAAACATCATACTTATCACCCCCCTGACCCCTTTGTCTTATTTAATTTATCTATAAAATTATTTAGATCAAGAGCAATCTCTAAGAACTTAAAAATCATAAACGAACAAAGGATGACAAGCGTTTGAGAGAAAAGTACTCAGGAAAATGTATGGGCCATATACTTATCGGTCAGACAAATTAATGGAGGAAATTACTCAACGACGAACTGCAATCCCTTTGACAGTATGTTTATTTAGAGGTATGGTTTTGATTGCCCAAAACCAAGGAAGAAGAAGAACCCATTTAATTTGTCTTTAGTAAGAACTCGAAAGGTGTTGAATTGATAAATAACTTATTAACCAGTCAATAACATAACAGAAATAAACAATCCGTGGATTAGTATGAAACAAACCACGGCTGGTGGCACCACAGAAGAACCACAAGAGACAGTGTAGCCAGAAATCAACTATTATTACAAACTATTCATTGTTGTCGAAACTGATTTCACGCATTTTCCGATTAGGAAATAAATAGTGTCGCCTGAATTGAGAGAAAATTAGGAATTATCTTTGTAGTGCTTACCATGATTCTCACACAGGTATGGCGGCAAATCTATGGCAATACTATCACTTACCAGTTACCGCTTTGGTTTTGACGGTTAATGCCATAGAGTATTATTATTTTTGCAGTTAAAGGTTTGTATTTTAAATATTGTATTTCTTTACTACACTATTCTATAACAACAAGGAAAAAGGCTTTGAAAAAATATATAGGTAGGTATATTGTTTTTCGTTAATATTTTTAACTTAAATATATAATAATCGCAAAAACTATTCAGACTAAATGTCTGAAGACATTGTCTCCTAAGACGCTTGGCCAATGCCGCTGTTTATTTCTGGCGTTTGTCCGTCGAAACCCAAATCCGAGTAGTATTTTTCGACCACGTGGTTGGTGAACTTTTGAAATTGCTTTTCGAATATGTATATGATTATCGCGTACTTGTCCGCATTGTTCGGGCCTTTTGGCAACACGGAAGTCATTGTTTTGAATTGTGCATTGACCGAATCATCAACGTGGTCGGGTAGCTGTCGGCAATAGGTTTTCCTGAACAGACCGAAGTAACGTTTTATATGAGTATTCAGGTAAGTGTGGAAAGTACTGGAATGATGGCAGCCGATTTTTATCGTTTTTCCGACCTTATGGGAATCATCCACATCTTTTACTTGACAAACGTCTATCCGGCTAAACCTGCGCAAACCGTTGGTCAACACCGATATGACTTGTGTTAAAAACTTTCTCTCTTCATCTTCAAACTGCAGTAATCCGACCAAGCAGTTTAGTGCGCCAGCCATGTGCTCGAACATGAATCCACTGTTTTCCAATTGTCTCAAAACCACTTGAAACATTTTATTGTGTTCGTAATTGCCCTGCTGGTGGTCCGTGTTGATTTGCATTCTTTTACTAAACGCCAATTCCCTGCGCTTGGTCAATTTACACAAGTGCAACATGTACTTAAGGAAATCGACAAATTCAAACACAGCGTTCACATAGACGCATCCCAGCAAATGGATGGCCATGTGCAATTTTTCTTTGAAGTTACCAGCTGTGATTTTGGCGTTTTCGTCATCAACACCTACATACAAATCATGTCCGGAGAACCATTCTGATCTCGTTATTGAATTGCATTTGCTTTGCACGTTTTCGATCTGGCTCCATCCAAAGCTACTTAGAATAGCGTTCAATTTGTCCGGTCGATTGCTGCAAGCCACTGAGTTGAATTCCTCGTCAAGCGACCATAAGAGTAAAACAAAGATGAACATCAAATTATTATTATTGCAAATCATATTCGATTTTATTTACCACAAATTAAAAAAAAAACATACTATGCTCGGTTCTATGTAGGTAATTGATCTAAGTATACTAAAGAATAATATTATAGGCTGCATCTCACCTAAAAAAAATGTATAAATATATATATTTATGTTACACCTATGTATATATAATCAATTATATAGGTAATGCGTACAAGGTGTCGTTTAGACGCGGTTTACTATATTGACTAACTGGGTACATTGTATATTTGAGTATGCTAAAAAATATGATACTATTCAAAAGCCAATAACGATTATTTTAATAATAAAAAAATATGTTTATAATATTTAATACAAAATAATTGTTTGGATATAGATATTTTATTTGCTTAATATTAAATATAATATATACCGAATTTGTTTGTTTTAAGTACTAGAAAAATTATAGATTTGGAAACCATTTAAAATGCTTTTCTGCTTAACAAAATATGTACTGGTGTTAAACCTGTTGACAGAATGATAAATTTAACACAAGGCACTAGTATTCTGTACAAATAATAACTGTATTGTAATTTTTTATTTTGAAATAACATAAACAAAAACAGTTTATTACTAAGAACATAATCATTTTCTTGGTTCAGGTGTACGATTTTCGAACTGTCTTAAAAGTAACTCAAAACATTTCCATACTTTAGGCCTAAACGATCCAAAAAGTATTTAAGTAAGGTAAAAATATTTACAAACATACCACTATCTATACAGAACAATACGTTTTTCATACCGCTTAAGGGGGCTCCATACAGACCATTTTTAATGAGTTTTGTATAGGCAATATTTAAGAAAAATTGGTTTAAATAAATTTCGACCATGTCAATAAATTTACCGGTTAATTTGTATAAGCTTCAAGGTATTATTTTTAATTTAAATCATTTTGTCTATGAGTAAAAGTCATTTTAGTTAATACAACATACATTTTTTGTTCCATCGCACAGGCTCAACCAGTCATCCGATAAGTAATATGAAAACAGATTTGAATTCGTTATGAAATTTACTTGAGATCGGTCGACGTACTTTTTTGATATCTTATTCCTACTAGGTATAAAACACGTTTGAACATCTTATATAATTTCAACATTTTAAAATAAAATTTAGAAAGGGTTAAAATTAAAAATTGAAAAAAGTACCTCGACCGATCCTAAGTAAACTTCATGACAAATTCAAATCTGTTTTTAGATTGCTTATCGGATTACTAGTTAGGCCTCTGCGATGGAATGAAAATGATGTGTTTTGACTGAAAAAATGGTCTGTATGGATCCCCTTAAATTATAAATTTAATATTGAGTTTATATTTAAGTTCTTTAATTATCCATTAAGGGTCAACTTGACAAATTTCATAAATAAAATAATATATTTTTGAGTTTAGATAAAATTGTATAGATAAGATATTTAAATATGAGCAATTATTTTTTGTAGGGAATCTAGCTAAATAAAAGGCATATCACTTTGTTTTTTTAATGTATGAGTATTGTTTTAAAATTAAAGGTATTATTACCTATATATTAGTTTTATGATTTTATTTAAAAATTAAAGATTTATGATGTTAGGTAATTTCAAAATTAAAATAATAAAGATAATTTTATATTGTATCATCATGAGGTTTATGATATTAAGTTATTTAATAATTTTAGTGTAAACAATTTAGACAAGTGTTGGCATTAAATGTTTTGATATGTTTTAAGGGTATAAATTTCAAATGAGAATGAACAAGTGGATGACGTTATCAATAGATCTCCGATCCGGTAAATAAAAAGGTTAAAATTAAGTTAATTGTGTTGCTGGTACCAATTATACACAAGGCGCAAAAGATACCTCAGATATAAAATACTAGTGTTACCATAAAAATATATTATACTACCATACAAAAAAAAAAATTATATTTTGTGTTTTGCCGAACAGGTTTGGTTTACCTTAAAATGCGAATTGAAAAAAAACAACCCGTTATAAATTATACGCCACACATAATACGCATTACAATTTAATTATTAAAATTAATATTGTTGAAACAGAGTTACATACTTTAACATTGACGAGAAATGTTTGCATAGGCCATCAACACACCGAGTAGTCGATTCACAAAATTATCATTTTTTTTTTTTGTACATTTTTGTTTTAAAAATATTTCAACAATAAGTATACGTTTTTGTACAGACTAAAAAATTGTTGCACCAGAAAACATCTGGAAAAGTGGCACTGTAGGAAATATCAACAGTTAACTAAAATTAAAAACTAATTGAGGGCAAAATAAGAATGTGTTACGAATTTTACCGAATAACAAGATTTGTTCAAACAGCCAAAGTTAACCGGACCGTGAAAAAAAAGATTATGAATAATATAGTTTTTACCATGTTGTTTACATAACAATTGACAAGGTTTAAATTGTTTTAAACAAGTATTTGAAAAAAATGTTTTCATATTTTTTAAATACATTTAAACATAAAAAACATCATGAAAACAATAAAAGAATGGTTTTAAAAGATATTTTTAATAAAATTAAAAAAAAAAACAAATATTTATTTTGATCATTGTTTTGATCCATATTTTGCGTTAAATTAACAATTTAAACAAATATAAAATATATATATGTTTATAAAAATATATTTAAATTTAATTAACTCAGTTAACAAAAATAAAATTTGCCGTAAACAAAAAATTAATAAGTATCAAAAATGAATGTTGCAGCATCCTGTTTTGAATAAGCCAACTGTTATTTGTACAACTTGACGTTGCTAACTGAAAAAAAAATATAAATTATAATTTAAATTATTAAATTGTTATAAATTACAAACTATTATTGCTAAGTTAATAAATTTTAAAGATTTTTTGTAACAAACAATAATTTTTAGCTTAGTTTTAATAAAAAACCATTTAAGAACATAATACAGAAATGTATTGTATTCTCAAAAAGTTTAATTTAGATTTAAATTGACGTTAACGATACAATTTAATAGGCTTATCTAAATAACAAATAAATACAAAGCCGGACAAAAAATAGTGTTTCAATGTAAACAGGTGTATATTTTAATAAAAAATTTTAAAACAAATATCTATTTTATTGATATTAGAATAATGATTCGAATAATTATTTTAAATTGTTTATTATTTGAAAATATTTCAAACAAATTTATAACAAGTACCGCATAGGAAAAAATCATTTTAAATTGTCAAATACCAATTTTACACAGATATCATTACGTAAGAAATGTATTTAATTAAATATTTTATTATCAGTAATATTGTTTACAAACTTTTGAGTGAAAACTTTATCCGTTAGTTAGTTTTCATAAATAAAAATGTGTTTTATAATAAAATTGCCGGAAAAGCGGAAAAATTGTACGAAGGGGATCCATTTGCATATTGCTTTTCCCAAAATGTTCAACCCTAAAATACAATACTTACAATATACTGTCATCAACCTGAATGAAAAAAATTTCTTCTTCGGCTCGATCTTCTTTGGACGAGGGCAACTTTTTTCTGGTTTATCCTCTTACGAAGTGTTCTCTTCACGTCAGAAACAAACGATTACAAATTAAATTAAACATTAACACGCTTAAAAGTTTAAGTGGTACAGATAAATTTTTTTTTTATACCTTAAACGGCGACGATATATTTTTTTTGATATCGCTGCAATTCTCTGTTTTATTGTCGACGTTGACGTTTTGAGAACTAACAGCAACAGTGTTCAACTTTGTTAAAATTACTTGGCAGTCTTTTAGATTGTACGGTGAGGTATAGACAACATCCGTTTTCTCAACCTCTGTTGAACTTTCAAATATTTCCGTTTCCTTATTGGTACAAATCTTGCTTACAGCAAGTTTACATTCCAAATCATTTTTCATAACAATTGTTAGCCGATTCCAAATTGCACTCATTCTCTTCACGTCGGAAACAAAAGATTACAAATTAAATTAAACATTAACAAACTTAAAATTTTTAATCAAGTAAGTCGTGTAGATAAATCTTTTTTTTTTTGTACCTTAAACATAGGTGATAAAATTTCGATATCGTTGCAATCTTCTACTATTTGTCGATTGTCAAGTTTATTTGTGACTTTGACGATTTGAGAATTAACAGCGTCACTCTCCAACTTTGTTAAAATTACTCTACAGTCTTTTAAATTGTACGATGCCATATTAACCACTTCGCTTTTCTTAGCCTCTGTCGAACTTGCAAACATTTCCGGTTCCGTATTGGTGCATGCATCTCTTACAGCAGGTTTAACCTCCAAACCATTTTTCAAAATAATTTTTAGCTGATTACAAATTGTACTCGGAAGTTTAATGTTAAATTTTCTTTTCAATTGCAATATAACGGAACAAGTGTTTTCCAATGTACTTTCACACAAATTGTGGAAATGTGCGACATTTTGCTTGTCAAAAGCGGTAAATTCGTCCAAATTATTTCGAACACAATATTCGTAAGCATTCAGCATGTTTTTCATTTGAATGTAGTCAGGTTGTTTTCGGTCCATTCTGAATTTTATGAAATAGATAAACACAAAAATGTTAAATTAAAAAAAGCATGCAAAATAATTAAGAAAAAAAAACTTTCGACCTGACCTAACCTGATTTAAACAGTTTGAAGAAATTGTAAAAACTTACTTTTAACGGTGACGGAGTTTAAAAGCTTAGTAATATTTCTCGGTTAGAATAATCATGTTTAAAATTTTTTCTTTTTCTGTACATACCTGAAAAATTGTTGAAAAAATGTTAACAAAACTAAATTATACAAAATACTTGGGAATTTTCAATAGGTAAAATCTCATTTCTCTAATAAAATCTATTTTGAAACTTAAAAGTTTGAATCATTGCAATCCTATGAACGACTATAAGTTTTAATTATTGGCTCACGATAAAAAAAAAATTAACTTAATTATTTTTCGGCATTCCTAAATAAATAAATAAATCTTATAACTTTTCCAAACTACATCAAATTGTCTTGGAAAATGTATTCAGGTGTTGTTCAAAATACAGAATTCCAGTCAAGTTTTAAAACTCTCAAACAAAAGTCGACAATTATTATAAAAAAAAAAAAACGATGCGTTTCACCATAAACTTACTGAAAAATCATAACAATGTTGGTAACAGCTGGTTCGGTATGTGAACTTACTTTAACTTACATTATTTGTACATAGTTATAAAGAAATAAAACAAAATCTTGTAAAACTAACCGAATGCGGTGCGTGTGTGGTGCAAGAAGTTGGCTCTATAGATAAGAAAAATGATAAGAAAACAATTTCACGGTGAAGGTGTTTTTTTTTTGTTAGTCGCCTGTTATTTCAAGAACGACAAGTGTTTTAATATTGAAATTCTTTACGCCAAACACAGTGGAATAACTCAATTATTACAAAAAGAGCACAGACCAGATTACATTAAATTTAATCTATACAATGGTAGAAGAGCTGAGTAGCACAAAATAATGTCGTTTGTCCTACCTAATACTGCTAGTACACTTGTCAATGGCTAGCCTTCGTAATGATATCACAATCAATATGCATTATTTCCACTTTTATAATAGAATCTATTATTTTTAATAACATTGAATTGATCCGCCTTGATCACTATATAATAAATAAATATCTGAAATAGATTACATTTAGTCAATACAATATTTGATAATACTATGTTTAACCCTGCAGTAGGCGCGCGGCGCACTATTGTGCGCCATTGATTGTTAATTGTTGATAGTAACAAGAAGGTAAATATTTGGTAACGGGTTCCTACTTCTACCTTCATATTAGGTACCACTGTGTATTTTTAGTGAATTGCGATTTGATTAGATCTTATCTTTCCCAGTTATTTTATCAGTTTTTTACGGTGGTGCACCATTGTGCGCCACGCGCCTATTTACGTTACGTGAATATCGTATGTGTTAGTGGTTTATGTTTTGTATTATTTTGTTATTACAAGGTAAAATACTGATATAATTGAAAATATTTCTGCTTAGTTGGATGAACCTGACGATGATTTTGTATATAATGGTTCTGATGATAGTTCTCCTGATATTATTTCACGTATTAGTCATAATTCAGACACAGAACAAGAAATTGATTCATCAAGTAAAGAAGAGAGTTCTAATTCTGCAGGAAATCAATTTTTTTTTGGAAAAGATGGTACCAAATGGTCTAAGTTTCCTATAGCTCCCACATCGCGTACTCGTAGGCATAATATAATTACTTATTTACCTGGTGCCAAAAGACATGGAAAAAACGCGAAAACTCCACTTGAATGTTTCAATATTTTATTTGATGATTCTGTAATAAAAATTTTAACTACATCGACAAATATATATATTGATAAAATAAAAAATAATTTTACGCGTGAAAGAGACTCCAAAAACACTGATGAGATAGAAATAAGAGTTTCAATAGAAATTCAAATGTGTTTTTCGGATTTTTTTTGTATTTTTTAATATATTTGTTTGTTATAATGCAAGTTGTTCTCTTTATTTAAGCATGGGTATTCTAATAGTTATATGATTAATATTTATTATAAACAGCCTATTTTTCTTATTTATAGTCCTAATGTGGAAAATACTGACTGGTGCACTATAGTGCGCCACGCGCCTACTGACGTTAAGAAATAGGGCGCGCCTACTGCAGGGTTAAATTTAGCAAAATAAATAAACTTATTAGATGCATTTTAAAAATAAAAGCTTCAGCAAATTTTAAAAATATACAGCTGTTCCAAATATCAAAAAAAAAGCACGACAAAAGTTGAAAATAATTAGACAATGTTTCAGTTATAATTTTTTTTTAAATAAATTGTTTAACTAATAAATAATATAAAATAATATTACTATCTATATTTATAAAGTTTGCAACTGATCTAGCTACATCAATCGGCCCAATTATTGGTCTTAATTAAAAAGGAAATATTGTAAAATTGATATGACTGATTTTGATGGATTAAATTCTCAGTTTCGCATTAAGGCTAAAAAATGTTCAATGGTACAATATTTTTTTTTCTTTGGTCTAAAGAAGTATGTCACTATGTGACAAATCATTGATGTATGTAACTTTAAAATTACTTATACTTTTTATAGGTTTTCATCAAGGTGTTTGATAGCCAATTACAAAAACATTAGTAATACTGTCTTTGGCTTCTGTTAAAATCTTAAAACATATTTAATTACAATTTAATTCAAAACGTTTAAACAAGCAGAAAGCAATGAAATGCGAATACATTAAAAATTTTGAAAAATGTAATACATATGTTGTGTAGCACTTGATTAGGACTGTTGCTACTACTTCAAGTGTACACGACAGCAAACGGCATTATCGTTAGACCTGGAAATTTTCTCTAAAGTATCTTTATCGAAGCAGTATGTTGTCGCAATTTTTTAACCTACCTGTCCAACACAACCGATTTACCTGCTCCTTATGATGCTAATTATTCACTAAGTTAGGCCATTAGTTTATTTCCCTAAACGACTAAAACATCACTTTCAGCATGGCCAAAATTATCTCTTGTCTATTCTATCACATTTATTCTGCCATTAAGAAACTCGAATGTTTAATTAATAAATTTGTAATAAAATATAATTAAATTTACTATTAAATCTAACGGCTCCTCGATCACATTTACTAGTTTTTCGACACTTAAAGTCCATTGTTTTTTTTAAAGAGTTTTAAAACTGCAGTAGTGAAACTATCTAGTTTTTAAATTCAATCGACTAAAGATTTCTTGTGACATGTAAATCGATTCCTTGTTAAAAACAATTTTAACCTTGTCAATTGTTATATAAACAAAATAGTAAAAACTATATTATTATTCATAGTCTTACTAAAGATTTCTCGTCATTGTTAAAATGTGTAACATAATCTTATTATTTAATTAAAGAATACATGATGTGGGTATCAAAATAATTTCCATTTCTTTGGATTTAGAAACGTGTTAATAATTATAAAATATAAGTTTTCAGGCTTATCAATGGCCATTATTATTTAATAGGTTGTATCGATTAGTTAGAACAGTAACATTATTTTTAGAAAAAAATGTATGACATTTATTTTTATTAAAATACCATATTTTATTTGTAACATTTTGGTTTTTTGCAATGTACCATTCTGCTTATAATTATTTCGATTTCTTAATTTTTTATTAATTTACAATATTTTTTTTTTTGTTTTTTATTTAGAATTTGTACAATCTGTAATAAATGTAATTACAATAAGAACAAAGGATAAATTACATGGTAGGCAAATATATAATAATATATTGATACAGTAGACTTGTTAGAAGAGGCCAGCCAGAGCTGGTACTTCATGACGTGTGAAATTTACAATATGAAATATAAACATATATTTTATCGACGCGTAAGATTGAATTGAAAATCTATTCATTTGCTGTTAAAACGAAATCGTTTTTGTGTTTTCTGCAGTTGTTGTTGTTGTAATTGTTCTTATTTTTACAATTTTTTTCGAATACGAAAATATTTCACTAGAAAACAATTTTTTTTTTTTTATCGATATACTACCAATAATTTTTATAACATTATGCATATTGTTGTTTTCAAGTTGCCACAGTATTTTTTGTCGTTGAAAATGATTGATTCCGTTGGAATAAATACAAAATCAATTTTACATGTACACTATTATACAGTAAAAAAAAAACTATAGTTAAAAAAATCTAATAAAGAAAACTTCTCCGCCATCTAAAAATGTTTACCGATCATTTTCATTTTTTATTTAAAACTTTTTGAAAAATTCTATAAAATAGTTTTATCATTTTCGTTACTTGTCTTAATAATAATTGTATAATATATATTTTCTTACTCAGAAGCGTTTTAAAAACACGTTTTAAGTTGTGTTATTTTTTTGAAATAAGAGGAAAACATATTTTAAAGAGAGGTTTTCCATGCTTGTTTAAACAGTTACTTGTTAGCCTTACACCAATGCACTAAATAAGAAATGTATCGAAAAACAAAAACAACATCTTTAAAATCGACGTAGTTATGTTATATTTTGAAGTCTTCAAAGTTTACACAATTTGGTTATTATTATATGTATTTTGGGACTATTTATTTTTTACTCGAGCAATTATAAAAATAGGACAATTGTCAGTATTCCGACCAAGCCTACCCAATCCCCCCCCCTGGTTCAATTATAATAATAGTGGTATATTTATAGTGCTTATAACCGTATAAATACTAGATCCGCCTCTGACTCTGAGTCCTAAAATATTTTCTTATTTTATTAGATCTCGCTCATTAATTTCTCGCTATTTCCTGTTTTGTTAAAGTAATACAGTTTCTTTCCAGGTCCCAGGTAACCCTGAGGTCACTAAAAACGAGTTGATTCCATTGCTAGCTGAACTTTATCTTTCCCGGATCCACATGGACTTGTCATCCACAGTTAGAAAATTCTTCAGCTCTAGCAAAATAAAAAATTGTTTACAAGTGAGGCAAATGTGAAATAGTCCTCCTTTCCTCCCGACCTTGCTAATATGCCATCGTCTTGACAGCCCTAACAACAGCCCCTTGCCTTGGTTACACATCATATCCTTTTCCATTCAAACATATGTGCATACATTTTTGTATTGTATTTAATTATATTTAAAGTTGGTTACAACCTAAAAACATAGGATGATATTATAACTTATGACGTTGTTTAATAAAGGCCAATTAACGTTTCGGATCCGAGATAAACATTAAGATGTGGGAAATATATATTGGTGTTCTTTTGAAAAGAAACATCACAGTTTTGAGTGACTGTTCTTATAACGTCATAACTTATAAGGTCGCGTGTAACCAACAGGTGTTTTTCATATTTTGTTTGCAACGCGACATTCAAATATTCAACCAGTCGTTGTGAAAATGACTGCACAACAATATAGTGTGTAAAAAAATAATATGTATATACCGTTGGTTTTTGTACAACGTACAGGGATTTTAACTAAAACTAAAAAATGCTAGTTGTATTATACAACTTATAAACTTATAATAATTATGTGTAAAACGCTAATTGTATCATTGTATGTAGCTGCATGTCTTTAGGGAAGAAATTTACAAATAAAATCATTCTAAACATTTCATTGGTGGTAAAATACGAATGTACACAATAGATATTCGCTATAACTTAGGTAAATACACAGTACTACGGTGTAAGAAAATAGTTCAAACATGAAAGACACAAGCATCCGAACGGAATACTTAAAAAGAAAAAACAGTTTTTCTTATACTAGTGCAAAAATACATACCTGCTCGTTTGTAAAGTGACATTGCGTCGATAAACACAAAAAAAAAACTAATAACATGATACCCACATCGTTTTGAAAATATTTTGCCAACCAATAAAAATGTTCGACATTCGAACTCGAATAATTATTATCAACTTGGACAAATAATTCAAAACGTTTATAATCTATGTATTCGAATGCATTAGAGAAACGGAATAAGCTATTTATTAAGAGGTAAAAGA